ACAACAATTTTATTCCTTAATTTATAGACTGCAATTTAAAAATCATTAATAATTAATAAAGTTTAGGAAAAAAAAAGAAAAATTCCAAAACTCCGTTTTTTTGTTTTCTTTTTTAATCACATCTAAATTGTTATTACGAGAGTTAATTTGCAACGATACAATTATTTTAATTGTAAGAAATGAGAAGGATTGATTACTATTAATTCCTCGATCCGCACATGTTCAGGAGTATAATAAAACTGACATTTATAAGTGTAATGAGGAAACTGGGATGATTCAGCTATGCGCAGTGTTTTTGTGTGTAATTCGAGAAACTCATTATTAGTTTTTTATTTGCGCGCAAATAAAGCGCCGGAGTAGTGATGTATTCACTTTACCTGTGAGGACAAATACATAATTATATAATAGTTTCATATATATATGTAAAACTATTATATATATTTTTATATAATATTGTAGATAAAGAAAAGTTCTATATTACTTCAATCGAAATTTTTAAACGTCAATTACTTAAGTTCTGATTTATTAATTTTTTCATTTATGATTTACGTTTAAAATTTTTATCTAAATTTTCAGTCAAATTCGCAGCTGGATTCGTAACTAACTTTTTAACTACATTCGCTGCTGAATTTGTCACCAAATTTATAGCTAAATTTGCAACTGAATTTGAAACTAAATTTGTAGCTTTATTTTTAAGTTTTGTTAATAATTTGTAGCTGAATTTGGAACTGAATTTGTAGCTAAATATTTAATTAAATATGTAGGTAAATTTATAGCTAAATTTGTAGCAAAATTTTTAGTCAAATATGCAGTTATGAATTTAATAGAAAATTAACAGTTAAACTTGTAGCTTCACTTTTTATTTTTGTTTCTAAATTTATGGCTATATTTTCAACTGAACTTCTAGTGAAATATTCAGTTGAATATGTAACTAAATTTGTAGTTAAATTTGTAGCTAAATTTACAGCTGAATTCGAGGCTAATTTTGCAGCTGAATTTGTAGCTTTTGTAGCTGAATATGTAGCTAAATTATTAGCAAGATTTTCATCTGAATTTGTAACTAAATTTGTAGTTCAATTTGTAGCTTCAATCTTAGTTTTTGTAACTAAATTTGTAGCTAAATTTATAGCTAAATTTATAGCTAAATTTGTAACTTTTTTCTGTTTTTTTCCATTCTGTCAGTTTTTTTTCAAAGAATATTGGATTTAATAATTTCAAATTAGAAAATTAAAATTTTTAAGTTCTAAAGTTGGCTTAATTTATTTTTTAAATCCAGAAATGTGTTAAAGTTTAAAGTTAAGAAAAACGGAACACATTTAATTTCTAAGTCTATCGGAACTTTGATTTTATTTTTTAAAATGCACTTCTTGTTGCGCAATATTAGAAAACAAAAAATATTATACAGAGGCGGATCCAGACAAGGTTGTTTTTTTTTGAGGGGGGGGCCATCCATTCGAAAAAAAAATCAATATAATGTTATCTCTTTCTATCTCATAGGAATATTTGACTCTTGAGGGGGGGCAAGCACCCGTGGACCCCCCCCTAGATCCGCCACTAATATTATAACTATAATATAATTATAAATATTGTTAAATATTTTTGCAATTTTAGTTTTCTGAGAGAAGCCCCTGTTAAATATCTTTCAGAGAATTTTACACCGGCACGTCATGTTGGTTGCATTTCTGACTTGAAGCCCTGATAATTCCTTTCTTCGATACGCACACTTTATATATTTATACTGGGTGTTGCAAAAATTTCTCAAACTGGCAAAAATCTCTAATTCTTAATTGATGATTTTTTTTTTGGCAAAATAATAAATAACGTTATTAATAAATAAAAAAATAATTAATAACAATAATAATAATAATAATTGTTTATTTCCTCATTTTTATTCTCCATTTTTTCATAGTTTATTAATTTTTCAATAATAATAATAATAATAATATTAATAATTGTTTATTTCCTCATTTTTATCCTCCATTTTTTCATAGTCTATTAATTTTTCAATAAAATGATAATAATAATAGTAGTAATAAATAAATAAAAATAATTTCTACACAGAGAAGCTGAAAAGAAAATCTTTTATTGTAATTTTCCAAGGCAATGGAAAAATTAATACAATCTTATAATTAGCTGTATTTAAAAAAATTATCAGGAAAGATTAAAAATATTAGGTTGCAGTAATAAGTTTCCTGTTTGTACCAATTTATAATTTAAACATTAATATCAAAGCAAAATTCATCAAAAATCATCCAAATTTATAAAAAATTATTCAAAAATAAGAAACGTTATTAAAAATTATAAAAAAAGAAACTATCAAAAGTCATGAACCATTTTTTTAAAATCATTTAAATAATTAGCAACTGTGAATTTTTAGCAACTATAAGACCAATGCGTAATTAATCAAAAATCATCAAAAATCATCAAAAATCATCAAAAATCATTAAAAATCATCAAAAATCATCAAAAATTATCAAAAATTATCAAAAATCATTAGAAATGATCAAAAATTAGAAAAAAAGAGAAAAAAATATCAAAAGTTATAATAAAAATTATCAATAATATCAATAAACAAAAAAATTCGAAATTCAAAAAATGGTCAAAATCAATAAAATAATTAGCGACTGTAGATTTTTAGTAACTACAATATCGATGTAAAATTCATAAAAAATCATCTAAATTTTTAAAAGATTTTTAAAAATTACAAAAGCCATATTATAAAAATTATCAAAAGTATCAATAATATTAAAAATATCGAAAATTTGTCAAAATCATTAAAGTAATAACCAGCTGCGATTGTTTAGCAACTATAATAATACAAATGCAAAATCCACCAAGAATCGTAAAGAATCATCAAAAATCGTCTAAAAATATTTTTAAAAAAGACTATAAAAAATTATATTAAAAATTATTAAGAAAATAAAAAAATAGTAAAAACAATAAAAAATTAGAAAAAGAAATATAGAAAGTTATCAAAAATTGTTCATAATCGTTAATATAATGATAACTGCGAATAACAATATTAGTAGTTATACTACTAATATTAATATAAAATTCATCAAAAATCGTCATAAATCATCAAAAATAAAAAAAAAAATTACAAAAAAAATTTCAAAAGCTATTAAAGAATATCAAATATTAGAAAAAGAAATGAAGAAAGTTTTTAAAAATTGTTCCTTATCGTTAATATACTTATAACTGCGAATAACAATATTAATATAAAATTCATCATAAATCATCAAAAATAAAAAAAAAATTACAAAAAAAAATTTCAAAAGTTATTAAAGAATATCAAATATTAGAAAAAGAAATGAAGAATGTTATCAAAAATTATTTATAATCGTTAATATAATTATCGACTGAGAATAACAATATTCATCAAAAATCATCAAAAATCTTCAAAAATCATCAAAAATTACAAAAAAAAATATCAAATGTTTTTAAAAACTGTAAAAAATTATAAAAAAATAATTAGCAGTGGTCAAAATAAAAAAATTAATAAAATAAAATAAAAAATTAATAAATGAATACAAAAATAAAAAACCTCTCTTAAAATTTCCAATAAAAATATTTTTGATCACAGAGCCGTAATTTTCTAAACCAGAGAAAAAAATCTCTTAATAAATATAAGTATAATTTCGTCGCAATAAACGACGAAAAATATAAAAATTATTTTTAAAAAAAGTCTGTGACGATAAAATCCCACGAATTAAAAGCATAATTCATCGAAGATGCAAATTTTGTTATCAATCATACAAATAAATAACCAGTAGCAAGTATATATGGGCAATTCCACGTGAGATTTAAGTCGACCTCTTAAAATCGGCCAAAAATATTTTTTTTCTATTCTGTATCGAAAAAAAACAGATACGTATTTTTTTATTTATGTTTAATTGTCCAAATTTTCGAGTTATGAATTTTCGAAAATTTGGACTTTTAATTGTAGACCTATATTCAGTAGCTTATGAGTCCGAAAATATTGAGAGTTTAGGAAAAAGTTGTCAAAGGAATGAAAGTTTTAGTTTTCTTTCGACTTTTAAGAAATGTAAGCAAAAAATTTTTTTTTAAATTTTTTATTAAAAAAAAAATTTTTTTTTATAAAGAAATTAATTTTTTTTAACTTTGGGCCGGATTTTTTTTATTTTTTTTTTATTTTCTTGTACCTTATAATATAGAGAAGATTTTCCAAAAAGTCCCGAAATGGGCCTGATGTGTTAAATGAGTTTTAAAATATTTTCAAAAATCACTTGCAAGCATCACAGTGGGATTTTTTTTACATTTAACTTTTTGAAACTGTTTACAGCGTAGACCCTTTTATTTAAAACAAAGAACACTCAAATATATTAAAAATTATACGCTGTAGACAGTTTTAGAAAGTTAATTGTAAAAAAATCCCACTGTGATGCTTGCAAGTGATTTTTGAAAATATTTTAAAACTCATTTAACACATCAGGCCTATTTCGGTACTTTTTGGAAAATCTTCTCTATACTATAAGGTACAAGAAAATAAAAAAAAATAAAAAAAATCCGGCCCAAAGTTAAAAAAAATTAATTTGTTTATAAAAAAAAAATTTTTTTTCAATAAAAAATTTTAAAAAAAAATTTTTTTGTTTACATTTCTTAAAAGTCGAAAGAAAACTAAAATTTTCATTCTTTGACAACTTTTTCCTAAACTCTCAATATTTTCGGACTTATAAGCTACTGAATATAGGTCTACAATTAAAAGTCCAAATTTTCGAAAATTCATAACTCCAAAATTTGGACAATTAAACATAAATAAAAAAATACGTATCTGTTTTTTTTCGATACAGAATAGAAAAAAAATATTTTTGGCCGATTTTAAGAGGTCGACTTAAATCTCACGTGGAATTGCCCATATGTATATACACGTGCATATATATAGTACATATATGTATATATATAATACTTGAAGCAAGTAAAAGAGAAGGGGAGATAGCGTCACTGAAAACGGGTCGATGGTAAAAGCAAAAGCAGAAGCCGGGCGAGGCGGCTCTTTAGTTTAGAGTTTGTGTCCGATAGCAGCGGATTGTTCCGTAAAAGTGATTTTTCGTACATTTAAAACTGAAACTACAAAATCTAGGTCAATAATATTTATCAAGAATATCTAATTTTGACCTTTATTTCAATTTCCCGCTTTTGAAAATTATCGAAATTCAAACTAATATATATATCGAAAGGAAGATATAAAGAAAAAGAAAAGATATAAATTGAATCGACGAGAAAGAAAAACAACGAAGAAAAAAAGAAACGTAAATCTTGAATTTTCACTTGATCGGAAAAAATTTGAAAATTTTCCGATATATCTTTAGGGCAAACAAACTATATACCTACGTGTAAAAAAAAATCCAAAAGTGAAAGATATTGAATAAAAAAGATTGTGAGTCTAATATGTAAATCCCAAAAGACTTGGAAGATTATTCCTATAAGAGTGAACTTTGAGGGAAAAAAAGGGGATTAAAGAGAAAAAATATTTTCTAAATTTCTCACAAATAATTGAAAGCGAATCTCACAAACTGGCTCCGGAAGTGAGGATCAAGCAAATTGGAATGAGGGAGGACCTCTTGTCCATTATAAGACACACGAGTAGCGATCATTTTTCCGAAGAGTTATTTCTCGAAGAAATTAACGATCCTCATCTGTGATAACAAAAAATCAGTGCCATTTTTTTTTTTTGGGGGGATAATCCCGTGTCTCGTAAAAATAAATAGAGGGTGAAAATTTTATTTAAATTTTCTTCAAATTTTTCTTCCTGTTTTTGTAATATAAATAAGGAAAATTCATTTTTGATTCTCGAAGAAAAAAATAGAAAAACGGATTCGAAGGTCAATAAACGATTGCTGATTGTCAGCGAATTGAAAAAATTTTCATTTAATTTGGAATGCCGTGGGTTGCTGCCTGTTTGGATTTATTGGCTGGACCCATTTTGGGTTATTGTGTGGCAGTTAGAAAATTGGCATTACAAGCAGGAATCATGCAAGAGGGTGATATTGTTGACAATAGAAAAAATCCAACCATCATGGCACCTGCTGTCGAGGACAAAATTGAAGGTAAAATATATCTATATATATATAATGTTGCTCCTTTAGCGCAATCGCAATACGGGGTTAAAAGAGAAAAATCAAATAGAACAAGGTTAAACCAAAAAGAATCAAAAACTACGTAGTTAATCAAAATCTTTTTTTTACTACTAAAAAAAAAACTAAAAACCAAAATTTAGAGACAATTTTTCGATTAGTTTCGACAACTGTACAGAAAATTAATTTTTATTATTTTTAAAGAAATTTCTATACTAAAATAAGTTGTCCACAATATGGCGAATACTGCGAAGTTTTCTCGAATTTTCCACAAAGTGAAATCGAAAATTAAAAAATCTTGTAGAGAAAAATTAACAAATACAACCAGCACGTGACATAATAGTCTGCATTCTGACATTTTGTATTTTATTTCTGCTTGCTGACTATAAATATAATACAGAATGCAACCGAAACTCTCACTACTTAAATAGCAACGAAAAGTCCTTCAAAAACTCGAAACAGGATTTCAGGGACATTTTCTAAATAACGAACAAAAGGGAACAAAAAAACAAAAAAATTCTAAATTTTTTTTTCATCTACTCTCTCGATAAATTGCAAATAAATTTGCGTAACAAATTTGATGAAGGCAAAAAAAAAAAAATAATGAGAAATATTCAGCATAAAATGTGCATAAATAAATTAATAACCTCCGGTCTAATGTTGTCTCGTGATCCTAACGTGAATATCAAAGTCAAAAGAGTGCTTTTAACACAAAAAAAAAAAAAAAAAAAAAAAAAACGAGAATGTAAAAAAATAGAACAGTAGCATTTTTTATGCAAGTATTTTTAATGCTTTAATCATTTTTTTCTTCAGTAAACATGCAGACGTAAATGAATTATGTAATGTGTAAATTTTGCACAAAGTCAACAACTTTGATTTAATGCTTCGAAAAAAAAGTCTAAAAATAAAAGTTATTAAGATTTCCTGTGTTTGAAAACAAAAATGGGAAAAACATAAATAATTAAATAACAAATAGAACAGAAACGTGACTTCTGATGTTGACAATTGTATTTTTACATCATTTTCATTGTTAAATTGATAAGAAACTGAGACAATAACAAAAATACTGAAGTAGATGAACTGCTATTTTCATTATTTTTCTTCCTGCTCATTTTATTAATAAAAATGTCGATAAAATAAAAAAGATAAATGAAATTTGTATAATGTGTAGAAAATGAGGAAAGTAAATAAAATAAAAAAAGTAAAAAAAAGTATAGCTAAAGTTAATAAAGTAAATAAAATAAAATATATACATAATAATATTATTATTTAATTTATCAATATCAGGGTTTCCATGGCTCAGGGAAAATTGAAAAGAAGTAGAATGAATCAAGAAATTTAGGGGAAAGTCAGAGAAAATCAGAAAAAGTAAAATTAATTAGGAAATTCAGGGGAAAGTCAGGAAAACTAAACTTAATCAGGAAAATTATGGAATTAAGGAAAAAGTTAGAAAAAGTAAAATTAATCAGCGTAATTAGGGAAATTCAGGGAGAATTTCAGAAGAAGGAAAATTAATCAGGCAATTAGGAAATTCAGGGAAAAGTGAGAGAAAGTAAAATTAAACAAGGAAATCAGTGAATTCAGAAAAAAGTAAAATTAATCAGGGGAATTAGTGAATTCAGGAAAAAGTAAAATTAATCAGGAAATTCAGGAGAAAGTCAGTAAAACTAAACTTAAGCAGGAAAATTAGTGAATTCAGGGAAAAGTCAGGAAAAGTAAAATTAATCATTAAATTCAGTAGAAAGTAAGTAAAACTTAAAAAAATAAAAAATCAGGAAAATAAGGAAATTCAGGGGAAAGTCAGTAAAACTAATCTTAATCTGGGAAATCAGGGAAATATCAGAAGAAGTAAAATTAATCAAGGAAATTATGGAATTCAGGGAAAAGTAAAAATTAATCACAAAATTCAGGGAAAAGTCAGAAAAAGTAAAATAATCAAGGAAAATAAGGGAATTGAGAAAAAAGTAAGAAAAAGGAAAATTAATCAGGAGAATTAGTGAATTCAGGAAAAAGTAAGAAAAAGGAAAATTAATCAGAGAATTCAGGGTAAAGTTAGAAAAAGTAAAATTGATAAAAGAAATTAGGGAATTGAGAGAAAAGTAAGAAAAAGGAAAATTAATCAGAGAATTCAGGGAAAAGTCAGAAAAAGTAAATTTAATCTGTGAAATCAGGGAAATGTTGAAAAAAAGTAAAATTAATTAGGGAAATTTGGGAATTCAGTGGAAAGTCAGGAAAAATAAAATTGACAATAAGAGAATTAGGGAAAAGTCAGGAAATTTTATTAATTTTTTATTTAATTAATTTAATTAATTTTTTAATATAAACATTAAAGTACCAAAAATATTAATATTAAAATATTCAAAATAAACCAAAAAATAGTAAAAATATTAAATTTTAAGAACTCATAGGAAAAATATTTATGGTTTAAAATTTGTAATTTATATGAAAATCTTAATTCCTATGCGCAGAAAGTCAAAATTTTTCCTGAAAATCAGGGACAAGGAAAATTAAATTTTTTTCACTGTGAAAATAGATATTAATATTACATTTTATTGCTGTCCTAAAGTTCCGAAATATATTTACTTCTTCATCAAATTAAAATTTTATTGCCATAGTTTTGCGTCACATATAAAAAAAATTAATTATAAAGTTTTTAAATTTAAATTTTATGTTTCAAAATATTACGTTAGCAATAATTTTTAAAAATAGTTTTAATGGAAAATATTTCGTTTACTTAAACGTTTCGCGAAACTTGTGAATCAACAATTATTTGCAATATCTGCAAAAATTATTGCATTTCCTAATATTAATACTAATTATAATATTAATATAACTTCTGCAAGAAAAAATAAAAAAAAATTTTTTTTGTTTTATTTTTATCGTTGTTACTCAATGTGTATATTTCTCTCAGACAACATTATCTTACAAATAGAATATTTTATCTTTTCACTTGGTTCAAATCTATTAGTGACATTTCATTAATTTCTGTTTGATAAAAATATTTATTAAAAATTGTTCTCTCTCCGGTGTATGTGGTTAGAAAAGAAATAAAATAAATTAAATATAGAAATTAATTTTTTCTCTCCCTCTCGCAATCTTTTTTTTCAAAACTGTCTATGAATGTATTTTTAATTACATATTATTTTCGAAATACTACGTTATAATATATTTTAAATTATATACTATACTCTGTACAACAAAAATTAGTCTATAATACACAATCTTCGTATTATCGTTCTTCGACAAGTTTTTATATGATATTTAAAGACTATTTTTAATAAAATTATATCTTTTATATTTTATCTTTTACATGAAAAACTCTGATAAGGACAACTAAATTTTATGGACTTGAAAAAAACAATAAAAATTTCTTAACAAAAACTATTAGTTTTTTTAAGAAAAAAAAATGAAATAAAAAAAATGAAATAAAAAAATTGCGCAAAATAAAGTAAAGAATTGATAATAAAATAAAATTTGTAAAAATAGAAAATAGTAGAAAGTTTATTATTTGAAGAAACATTCTTTCTCATGCAAAATATTTTACTTTGTGACTTTATTAAGTTTATTTTGAATATGTTTTATAAAGTATAATGGAAATGTAGAAATTATACTACCAGATGAAAATAGATATTTTCAGAGGGATAAAATTACTCGACATGTGCATTTAAAATTGTGCCTGAAAGAAAGATTAAAAGAGAGTCTCTCTAAAAAACCACGCCTTAATTATTTTTTCTTCAACTTTTTTTTTAATATTTAACTTTAATTTTCGAAAAAAATTATCCCATGTAGAAATTAGAATTATTGAATTTTTTATTATATCTATATTACTATTTTATTATATTTTATTTATTTATAATTAATATTGTTTATGGTATAAATATATAATCAAAAAATTATGTAAATATAATATATAAAATTATAATTATGCATAATATTTATTATAATAATATTGAATTAGCTAAAACAAAATCTTTGTTTCTATTTTTACAAATTTTATTTTAGTTGAAACAAATATTTATTTATAAATTGTAAACCCGTGTAATGAGTAAAATAAAATGAAATAAATATATTTATTATATATTGTTAACATTAAAATTATATAAGTGACAGTAAAAATAATTTTAAAAATGTAATAATACACCGGGAAAATCCCATTAAAATTGGAATAAATAAATAAATAAATAAATAATCGTAGATAAAATTTTTTTAAAAAATAATTAATGGTGTTTTTGTTTTAATTAAACATACGAGACGAATAAATTACATACTGGAGATAATGAAATTGTTACTATATTGAGATTTTTTTTTTCTTTTTTTTGCAACTATACAGATAATGATATTTTATCGCTAATTGTGATTAATTATTAATTATGTTTCTAGCTAATTAATTTTCTCAAGAAAACACAAATATTATTAAAATTCCTCTTTATTATTCCCTCTGATTAGAGTTTATTCATAATTTAATTTATAATGATAATAAATATACGCGAGTAATAGTTTTATAAAAGTAGATAGTGACGTCTCTGATAAAAACCTAATAAAATTTGTTTTTCCCTTGATACACTTTAGACTTGTGAGATTTTTGTAAATTTTTTTTTCGTTTGTTTATAGTTTTTTTTCCTTGCCATGTTAATTACAAAATTAAATTATAATTTGAATTAATTTGAATTAATTAACTTCAATATTTATTTTGAATTTAAACTAGTAATAAATTAAGTTCAATATTTATTATGAATTTAAACTTGTTATTAATGAATGTATAATTTAAATTAGTTATTAATTAATTAATAGGTAAATTAGATATTAACAGAGGTAAATTAATAAGTAAATAGGTAAAAAACTAAAAATTATTACTTAATTGATAATTTTAATTAATTAAAATTTTTATTTTGTTTTTTTCTGAGTGGCACCTTTGTAGACACTGTTCGTGTCACAGACAAGAGTGAATAAATGAAATTATTTATTAAGTAATT